TTGTAGTGTTCCTAGTGGAAAGCTGCTGACCATCTGATTGAGATTACTCTTTGTTCTCTGATGTTTTTAGTATTCTGTGCTTGCCACTGACTTTTTTTTTAAGATTTATTTATTTATGCATGCAAGAACTGGGGTACAGGCCAGAGGTGTGGGGGGTGAGAGGATTCACCAGAGACAGAGTGGGGAACAGAACAGGCAGACTTTGTCACTGACTTTCAACAGCTTTATTATACTGTGTCTTGGTTATTATTTTATTTGGAACTCATTGGGCCTCTTGGATCAGAATATCTGGTTCTTTTCCCAGGTTGAGATGACTCTCAGCAGTTTTCTCTCCAAAATTTCAATACCTGATATGATATTATTTCAAAGGACTCTTACCCTATTTTCATGTTGTTCTTGTTCTATTTGTGTGTTCTCTGACATTGTGCTTTTGAGTCATAATCCTCCCCCTACTTCGGTTTGTTTATTGTGGAGAACCTCAATTTTTAATACAATTATAGTATTTCTGGCTTTGTTGCTTCTAACTTTAGTGGTCTCATCCTTTCTTGGTCTTTATTCTTTTTTTTTTTAGATTTATTTATTTATGCATACAAGAGCTGGGGTACAGGCCAGAGATGCCGGGGTGGGCGATAGTGGGGGGCGGGTGAGGGGATTCACCAGTGACAGAGCGGGAAACAGAACAGGCAGACTGACTGAAATACACTGCTGAGAGGAGCAGCAGGTGAGACAGGAGAGGTCTTCTGTGCCATGTGGGTTGCTCCCTGGCCAGCCAGGTATCGAACTTGTGCTGCAGAGGCTGCGGACTGCTTCATAGTGCAGTGCTTAACCCCTTGCGCCACCAGGGAGGCCCTCTTGGCCTTTATTCTGGTCATGTTTTAAATCATTCTTCTTCTTCTTTTCAGTTCAATGAGCATTGTATAAGCATTACCACGAACTCCTCTTCAGTCATGTTCTGCAGTTCTGGATTGAGACTCCTCAGAGTTATTTTTGCTCCAGCAGTTGTGATATGATCTGTCTCTTCATTTTCAGTGTTTGTGGGCTATCATACAACTAGACTTAGAGACTGTTGCCTTTGCACCTGTTGAAGAACCAGAGAACTGGAAACGGTGAGGGGTAGTGAGTATAAAACTGGAACAGGGCTGCAGGACACCGAAGACTCACCTCCAGTGAGTGTCGGGGAATCAAGCTTCCTATTGTGCTATGGGGGCCAGATTTGTGTGATGGAATCCGTGGTTATCCCCTTCTCTAGCCACTAACACATCTCCGCAGTCTCAGTGTCTCATACAGTCTTGTGTCAGCTTCTACCTCTAGGCTATTTTTTTTTTAAGATTTATTTATGTATACATGAGCTGGGGTACGGGCCAGAGGTGCAGTGGGTGAGAGGCTTCACCAGAGACAGAGGACAGAGTGGGGAACAGAACAGGCAGACTGGCTGAAATACTCTCCTGAGGGAAGCAGCGGGAGAGACAGGAGGGGTCTGCTGCGCCACGTGGGTCACCTCCCTAACGGGATCAACTCACACTGCAGTAGTTGCAGATTGCTTCATAGTGCTGCGTCTTAAACCCTTGTGCCACCAGGGAGGCCCGCAGGCTATTTTTGAACACTAGATGCAGCACTGGGGACAGATTGCAGTTGAAGCCAGGTCCCACACTTGGAGTTATCCTCTTCTTTTTTTTTTTTTTTTTCAGTACAGAGTCGTATCCTGAAGTGTTTATGCCCGTTGTTAACAGGTGCTTGAACTCTGGTTAATGAAAGTGTTTGTTATATTGTTTTGGGGGTGCAGGCAGGTGTTTTAATTTCCCAGCCACAGGATTCAAATAATAGTCTCTTCTATAAGGACACAGGTGATCTGAGCTGGTTCTCCTCACCAGGGTCAGGCTGAAGCCAGGAATCATCATTCCTCACTCCTCGAGTTCTCCAATAGTAAAGCCTCTCTCCTGGATGCCATCTGTGTGCAGCCCCTTATCCTGCACACTGTTGGGTCTCCAAAGTCCCCATCATGGGTATGTGACCCTGAGTCAACAACTGTAGGGGCTTCTACACAGTTGTGGTGTGTCCATTTTACGGGGTATACTGCCCCCGTTATCATTCTGAACACAGTTCAATTGAAGTTTTTCTTACAGGCCTCCCTGGTGGGCAAGGGGTTAAGCACAGCACTGTGAAGCTACCCGCAGCCACTGCGGCACGAGTTCCATCCCCGGCCAGGGAGCTACCCACATGGCACAGCAGACCTCTCCTGACTCGCCCGCTGCTCCCTGCAGCAGTGCATTTCAGTCAATCTGCCTGTTCTGCTCCCCACTCTGTCTCTGGTGAATCCTCTCACCCCCCGCATCTCTGGCCTGTTCCCCAGTGTTTGTATGAATAAATAAATAAATCTTTTAAAAAACAAAGTTTTTCTTACTGCTTTCTGCCAGATATTTGCTCCTGATATGTACTGGAGTCATCCATTTATCTTTCAGGGGTTATTGACTTTGTTCTGTTGCAATTTAGTTATAAATATATGGATATGAGTCCAGCATCTTAATTGTATGGCAACTTGCCAGACTCCCCAGAAGTTCCTTATTTTAAAAGAGTATGATTTATATCAATTTCTTTCTTCTATAATCTATAATTTTGTGTTTTGTTTCAGAAACATTTACCTATGTAAGTGTTATTGTCTGATGCTTCATCATTACATCTGCAAACTATCTAGGATAGATTTTGAGATAGGGGTCAAGATGTGCTTTTTCATGCGGATAATCTGATTGACCTAGGCATCATTTATTGAGACAACCTTCCTTCCCCACTGTCCTGCTCTGTCACCTCTGTCAAATGTCAGGTGACTATTCTGTCCCAGTGTCCAGTTTGATTATCTTTGTACCAATAATGCCAGATTAACTTAATTACCATAGCTTGCTCCTGATATATGGTAGTAGAAGTCTTCCATTATGTTATTTGTCCAGATTGCCTGAGCTAGTCCTGGTCCTTGGTATTTCCATGTGAATTTTAGAATCAACTTGCTAATTTCCACATATTCCAAAAAAAAAGTAGGAATTTTGATTAGGTTTGCACTGAAACTATAGATGAATGTGTGGAGAAGTGACATCTTCATAATAATAAGCCTCCAGTCTAAGAATAGTATAGCCTTCCATTTATCTAGGTCTTCTTTAAATTCTCTCAATTAAGTTTTGTAGCTTTCATTGTACAGATCATATATATCTTTCTTAGTTTTACACTAGGCTTTGATTTTTTTTCTATTCAAATGGGTATTTTCTGTTTATGACTAGCGTGTAGAAATATTAATTTTTGTATATTTTCCTGTTCCAATGGTCTTGTTAAATTCACTTATTTTTAACAGAGTATCTACATATAATGACAGTTTTGTGTTGTCCTTTCAGATCCTTATGCTTTTCTTTATTCTCACCTTATTGCACTGGTGAGAAATTCCCTCACACTATTGAGTGGTCTTCTATTGGTGTGAATTTCAGAAGGCAAGCTTTTTATATTTTATCATTAAATATGGCTTTTTTGTTGCCACAGTTTATCAAATAAAGGAAGTTTCCTTCCATTTGTAGTTGCTGAGAGTTTTATTTTTTTAAAGATTTATTTATTTATGCATACAAGAACTGGGGTACAGTCCAGAGGTGCAGAGGGTGAAAGGATTCACCAGAGACAGAGTGGGGAACAGAACAGGCAGACTGGCTGAAATACACTGCTGAAGGGAGCAGTGGGAGAGTCAGTAGAGGTCTGCTGGGCCATGTGGGGAGCTCCCTGGCTGGGGATGGAACTAGTGCTGCAGTGACTGCAGATTGCTTCACAGTGCTGATGCTTAACCTCTTGCATCACCAGGGAGGCCCTAATTGCTGGGAGTTTTAACGTGAGTAAAAGTTGGGACATTTTGCCAAATGCTTGTCTGAATTCATTGAGATGCTCGATGCTTTTCTTCTTTTTTCTGTGAGTGTGTTAGTGCAGTGAATTGCATCACTTGATTTTTTCTAATGGTCACTCAATCTTGCATTCCTGGGATAAGCCCAAATTGGTGGTGATGAGCTTTTTTGCTTTTCACTGCATTTGGTTTGCTGATGTTTTGTTTAGGTGTTTTGCATCTCTGTGTATGAATGAAATCTCTACATTTCCTTCTTAAAATTTCTTTGCCAGGTTTTGTTCTCAAGATTATGCTGGCGCCTTGTTAAAAGAATTGGGCAATGTTTTCTCTTTACTGTTGTTTGGGAGGGTTGGAAGAAGATATGGAAGACTTCTGGGCCTGGAGTTATTTACTTTGTCTCTGTGGAATCTCATCGCTGTTTTCATTGGCAATGAGTGAGGTTTTGAGTGAGGTTGAGCAACTTTTTATACGGTGAAACAGCCAGTTGTAGTTCTCTTTCTGTGATCTAATGAGTCACATCCTTTTGCATCTTTCTAATGGACACTTGGTCTTTTATATTAAATATTTAAGTATTTAAATATTAAAGAACTAACCCCATACATTATATATTGAAATTATTTTAGCCAAGTTCTGCATTGGTCTTTTAAGATATTTTCCACATCAAATTTTTATGTGTTCAAATGTATCAGGTTTTAGGGTGTTTTTTTATGGCTTCTTGACTTTGTTTCATGCCTTCAGAGGTCTTTCCCACTTTTAGACTATAAGTAAAAGTTTCCCGTTTTTTCTTATATGTATATGGTTTTAATTCTTAAATCTTTGATCCAACTGGAATTCATCGTGTTGTAAATTAAAGATAGGGACCCCACTTTATTATTTTCCAAATGGTTGCCCACTTGTTCCAATACCAGTTGTTAAGAATTCATCTTTTTCCTACTGCTTTAAAATGCTTCTTCAGCACTGACAGAATTCCTGTATTTATTTGAATCTCTTTGTGAACTTTGCATGGTGGCTAATTGATTTCTTAGGTTTATTCTATGCTGTTTTAACTACTGTATATTTATAATTTATTTGAAAATGTGATATATTTGTTTACTTGATTTTTTAAAAAGATTTTATTTTTATTTATATATGCATACAAGAACTGGGGTATAGGCCAGAGGTGCAGGGTGTGGGGGGTGGCGGCGGCAGTGATGGTGAGAGGATTCACCAGAGACAGAGTGAGGAGCAGAACAGGCGGAATGACTGAAATGCACTGCTGAGGGGAGCAGTGGGCGAGACAGGAGAGGTCTGCTGTGCCATGCGGGTCAGCTCCTCAGCTGGGGATCTAATTTGTGCCTGCGTGCCTGCAGTGGCGGCAATAGCTTGATAGCACTGAGACTTTAATTCCTGTGCCACCAGGAAGGCCCTACTTGATTATTTTCTTAAACAATGGCACTGATGCAATTCACTGAAGAAAAATGATCATCTTTTTAATAAATGAGAAAGGAACACTTGCAAAGGCAGTTGTTTTAGCTTGCCCATTTAGACTTCAAACTCATCTTTAATTAATTTTTTGTTTATGGTTTGAGGTAGGGGTCAAGATTTATTTTCTCCGTCTCTCTATCCAGCTCTGAAACTAACTCTGGGAGCATTAATACTTAATTACCCTGCTTCAGTATCCTATTAATATTTCACTATCCTAGTCTGTAAAATTGAGAAAATCATAGCTCTCCTTCATTAGGAAGAACCGTATGACTTGAATCAAAACATGTATAGCTGTAGAACAGCATCCAACCTACGGGTAACACCCAACTCCAAACATATATTCATGTTACGAGGACATCCATTCATTCTCATTTTATTCTGTTTTTTAAAATTTGTCTGTTTTAATCAAGAATAAATATTGGATTCTTGTCAAATGCATCATCAGTTGGAGATGACCCTGTGATTTTTTTCCCTCTGATGAAAGATAAGAGTCACATTCATGGGGACGGTAAGTCCATAGTAAATTTCTTTGCTGTACTGGTGTCTGGCTCCACTGAGGTAAACAGGACATGTTCTTTTAAATGTGATGCTGGGTTCTGCTTGCTAATATTGTATTTATGGGCTTTGTTTTGAGTTTCACAAACACGATAAACCTATAGTTTTCTTTGACAGTCTTGGGGTCAGTGCTGCATTGACTTCATAAAGTGAATGTGCTCAATTTTCCTCCTCACTCTACACTGTGGGAGCTTAACTGGTAGGAGAGGTCTCTGTCCCTAATTTTAGTGAGGTCTGGATGCGAACCTCCCTGTCTTAAAGAAGGTGAGTCTGGGAGGCACTCCCCTGTCCCTGTGGCCGCTGGATCCCCCTCTGGTCTCCAACCTACAGCCAGTCACCTGGCCTGGCTTGTGCCAGCTTTCAGCTTACCTCTGCCTGTGGGGACAGCCCTTTCTCAGTTCTATACAATTTTGGTGAGGTCAGGACATGAAGCTCCCTGTCTTAAAAATGGCGCATCTGGGAGGCACGCTGGTCCTAATTTTAGGGCACTAAGTGTGTCCTAAATTAGTTCTAGAACTTTCCAGAAGGACATTTTCCTGCAATATTCTAATTTTTCCTCCATGTCTGCATTTTGACCGTTCTTAGCATGATTGTCATTATACTTAAGATTTCAAGATTTAGCAAACAAAAAATAAGTTACCTAATTAAATTTGAATTTCAGATAAACAACATTTTTAGTGTAAGTTTGTCTCAAGTATTATAACTGTATTTATATTGTCCTAGAAAGTAATTTATTTTGTCAGTTTCCAAACTTACTTGGGTAAATTGGGGTAATCTTTCATAATACTTTTAATTTCCCCTGTATCTTATTTCCCCACTCTTATTTCTGTTTTTGTATGTTCACACTCCCTTTATTTTACTGATTGATTAGCTAATAGCATATCTATTATATGTGTGGGTACATGTGTGTTTTCAAAACCTGTTTTTTATTTCAAATTTATCAATTTCTATTTCAGTTGCTACTGAGTCCTTCTGCTTGCTTTCCTTATAGTTTCCCACTAATTTCTTAAATTAGATGCTTTTTAAATTTTGAGTCATCTTAATATAACTATCGAATGCATTGAATTTTCCTCTGAGTCCTGCTTTAACTGTCTTCTGTGAAGGCTGATCTCAGTGTTATTTTGAACACACTGCAGTTTTGGTTTTGATTTCTTCTGTATAATAAGATGTTTAAGTTCAAGCTGGCTATGAACCTTGGATGTTCTGGAGGTAGTTAGGTGGGTGAGTGGGTAGTAATGTGGGTCTGACACACCAGAAACTTGGGTCAGAGTCTGGGTGAGGACGCATTATAATAGAAGTGGTGACTGAGCCTTGGTTGGGGGGGAGGGTGGCCGAGTGTGAGGCAGGAGCAGGGCATCAAAGGGTCTTCTCTCCTGCCTCTCCATAACTGTGCAACAGGCAGGTACACAGTTATGCTCTGTCACTGCCAGGAGGAACTGCTAAGACTGCCCAAGCTGGCCTTGGACTTATCAGTGCAGGGCAGACTCCCTGGGACCCAGACCATCCTGCCACTGGCCTATGAGGTTTGTGCCCAGTAGCCTCTTTCTCCCCAAGGGTTTCGGACACCTCTCAGACCTAAGTCAATCAGCCCTCCTTTGTCCCATCCCCTCCCTAGCCACAGAGATGGCTTAGGGAGGAAACTATGAGGCCCATGAAGGCTGGGCAAGGGACTTTGGCTAAATCACAAGCAAGTCGGGGGCAGGGGAGAAGCTTGGTGAATCACCTTCTGGCTGTGAAGTTCAGAGAAAGTTCTAGGGTGCCACAGAGGCTGCCTAAGGTGAGGCTGCCAAGTGGAGGGTCCTGATGGCAGGCCCCAGCCTCTGGCTCCCACCAGGTGTGAAAACCCTCTCCTCCTGCTTCTACTTTAGCCCACTTTTCTGTAGCCCACCCCCTGAACTGAAACTTTCTTTCCAAAATCCGACCCTGAGAGAGGCTGGGGACCTCAAGTGGGTGGCCTGAGTGCCCTCAGTGTGCAGCCCTATGGTTCTCAGCAGGGCACAATGAGGACAGCAGGCCTGCTGCTGTGGGGAAGGCTGCAGTTTTGGTTTTCATTTCTTCTGTTTAATAAGATCCCAAAGTGAGCCACTCTTTGTTGCCAGCTCTTCCTCCCAGAGTCTGACAGATGGCTCGTCCATCTTCCCAGCCAAACCTGAATCAGGGGTTTGCTCCCTGCAGACCCACACATATAAATATAAATATATATATATATTTACCCACACAGATAAATAACAGCCCCCACATACATGCATGTCCTGACCCCTGGAACCTGTGAATGTTACCCTATATAGAAAAGTGACTTTGTGACTAAGGATCTTAGAATTATCCTAATTATCTGGGTGAGTTTTAAAGGCCCATGAGCATCCTTACAAACTTTCAAACTTTCCCTATGTAGACCCACCTGAAGCAGAGGGAGATTTTACACTCAGAGGAGCAGGCCATCCGACTGCAGAGAGAGGGTTGGAGTGATGTGGCCACAAGCCAAGGAATGCCGGCAGCCACCAGAAGTTGGAAAAAGCAGGAATGATTTCCCCAGAGTCTCTGAGGGAATGCAGCCCTGCCCACACTTTGAATTCAATCCAGAGATACTAATTATGGATTCCTGATTTGAGAGACAATCAGTTTCTGTTGCTTTAAGCCATGAAATTTGTAGTATTTTGTTGCAGCAGCTACAGTGACCCTGTTCCATTCTGTCTGGCCAAATTTCACGGCCAGGCGAATGCTGATCCTTGACCCTGCCAATGGGAGGTGCTTCCCTGCAGGACGTTAGGGATGAAATGGGAATACTCCGTGCTCCCAGGACCCCAGGTCAGTCCAGCAGGGCCCACCCAGCAGCTGACACATTCATGGTGGTTGGGGGCGCCTCAGTTCAGAGCCGAGGTTCTCAATCAGGGGTGGCTTGGCATTGTCACAGCTGGCTGTGGGGGTATGGGGGTGCTGCTGTATGTGAAGCATAGAGATCAGAGATGCAACTCAGGATCCCAAAACGTGGAACAGCATCCCTAAGAAAGAATTTTTCATCCAAAATGCCTAACATGGGCTGTTAGGGCTGGGGTGGGATTTTAGGTTTTCATCCAAACGTCTCCTTGTGTGGAGGACAAGATCCTGAGATGGACCTTGCAAAGAGAGAGAGGTAAGTGCCTCCTGCCTTCCCACTAACAGACAGAAGCCCCAGAAAGTAGTGGGAGTGCTTGGCACAGTCGAGGGAAGTTGGTTTTCCCAACTCTGTGGTGCACTGCGGAGGACTAGAGGCACTAAAGTGAGTGCTGACGGCTCACTCCCCCACCTTGACCCTGAATCAGGCTGTGCTCTGGCCTCTTCTTTAATCTTGGACAGGAAGATGTACAGATGGGGAGTGCGGCCAAAGAGGGGGGGTGGGTTAAAGTCCAGGGGAAAGGCCTGAAGAAACTGGAAGATGAGGGCAGGGCCATGAGGGGCTTGGGAAGGGCTCTGCCCCATAGCTGGTCCCCACCTCTTGTAGACCCAAGCCAATCCCTGAGCTGCAGGGTCCAGATCCAGCCAAGGTGCTCCATTCCACGACCATGGTAGCCTGGGCACGTGACGGTGGACAGGATCTTGGAAGCAGCTTCCTCAGTAGCCCGAGGCCTCCCCACCCTTTCTTGGGTCTGCTGCTGCATACACACAGGTCCCCTCCTGGGACACCGCCTGGACCACATTCAGGAAATGGGACCTGTTGCCCTGGTTCTGGCCTCGCTCCTGGAGCCCCTTCTGCACCTCCTGAAAAAGAGAAGGCCAGTTCACAGGTGATGACAGCTTAATTCCTCCTCCAAAGAGGTCAGGGCATGGCTAGGGATCTGGAAACCCCTACTGGCCAAGCAAGAAAGCAGGACTAGAGAAACAGGAGACTGTGCTGAGCACTGGGAGGTGCCCACGACAGCCTCATCTACGGAGGATGAAGTCTGCAGCTCCAGAGGATAAGCTGACTCTGGAGAATGTGAAGGGAAGGGTGTCACCTAGGCCAAAAGAAGCTCAATGGGCCTCCCCGGTGGCACAGTGGTTGAGCACTGCAGCCTCTGCAGCGCCGGTTCGATCCCAGGCTGCCAGCGAGGGTCCCACATGGCGCGCAGACCTCTCCTGCCGCGCCCGCTGCTCCCCTCAGCAGTGGATTTCATCGGTCTGCCTGTTCTGCGCCCTGCTCTGGCTCTGGTGAATTCTCTCGCCCTCCCGCGCTTCTGACTGTGCCCAGTGCTTGTATAAATAAATAAATAAATAAATAAATAAATAAATAAATAAATATATAAATAAAAAGGAAGCTCAAGATGCAAGTTCCTTTCTGTCCCGTATGTGAGAACGCTGGGGTGTCAGAGAATCCCAGAGTGCAACATTGGAGGAATCAATCCATTGCCTTCGATGGAGAAGGTAAACGCTGGGGACTTGGGCTTGGAAACCTCCAATTTTAAGAACATTCAACGCAGAGCTTCCAGAAGGTGGAGCTTGGGGCCTGTGGAGTTCTATCTCCTCCAGATAAAGGAACTGCCCACCCACCTTAATGTCTAGTGCTCTGTCTTAGACTCTTAATACCTGGGGGACCTGAAACATGGAGGAGAGGCCCTGGCGCCAGTGGATAGAAGCTTCCATCTCAACACCCAAAAGAGACATGGAAAGCTGACTCCAGGAATGAGGGCAGGCTTTGGGACCCAATGGTTAAGGAATCAGCTGGAAGAAGGCCACGAGTCCAAGAACATTAATCCAGGATAAGGGCACCAGCAGTCCTGAGGGTGCAGCTCTCAGAGAACAAACCCTAAAGGCTCAGGTCTGAGATGCTGAGTCAGTGGAATTTGAGAGTCAGGGACCCAAGTGGGCCCACAGTACTGGCTTCCTAGAAGCTGAGTGCCTTGCCAGCCTGTCAGGGGCACTAGTATAGAGACCTGTAATGCCCCAGGTTGCCAATGACAATTTTGGGGCAACAGGCCAAGGACTTTAATCTACCAGGGCCCTAGATTATAGGGACAGCTAGGTACAAAGACCCTGATGCTCTACAGTCTCCAGTCCAGGGCCTCTGACCTGAGGCCACCACCAAAGCCATTGGCAGAACAGAGTCATGAGTTTCTGCGCTACCGGGTTGTAGGCTTCTCTGAGTGATGCACTAACTCCCCAGTGTCCTTAGATTTGAAAGTAGAGGTTGTCACTGCTGAGGTCACAGCAGGGCCTGTGATCCTGAGAGCTTCTAGTTCCTCCCAAACCCTAAGGAATGAAGACATTCCTGGGTCCGTTGCTGGCCTTGGTGTGAAGGCCCCCGGGAGTCTCAAGATCTCCAACAGAAGATCTTGCAGGCCATAGACCTGCAAGGCCAACCCTAACTCTCTAAGGGACCATCTCCATGAGGGTCTTGGGCTCATGGTTTGCTCGAATCCATTAACCCTGGTCCCAGGCTGTCTTCTCTAAATTTGCAGCATCTCAAGTCCTGGTAGAATTGATGTTTGCAGAGTAAGGACATTAAGAACCCCTGAAGGGGCTAAAGGATAAACCCAAGGGAGTATTTGACAGTCTCCAGCCACATGGAGGACCCTTTACAGGGAGGGAGGGCTTCAGACTCTGAGAGTTTGAGCTTGATAAGCTGAAGTCCTTTGCTACCAGGCCAGAAACCAAAGTTCTCAGGGAATACACAGCCTCTTGAACTCCAGCCACTCAGTACAGGAGCCTCAGATTGGCCTTGAGATAAAGACAGATTGATAACAAGTCACTTTCAAGGACCTTGAACCTCAGCTGCTTCAACGGTCTCTCCCTCGACCTCCCAGCATGTCTGAAGCCCTAAAGCCAAGAAGTCTTTCAAATTAGGCCCCAGCAGGGAGCATCCACCAGCCCAGAGACATTCTGAAGATGCAGACCACCTGCCAGGTCAAGGTGGAGTGGCTTGTGGAGGTGACAGGGAGACTGACGAGAGCATTCAGCTCCCTGGACCTGATGCACCAGGAGAAAATCTCTCTGCAGACTCACACAGAAATAAACTCTTCTACAAATAAACTGGCAAATAAAAGCTATAAACCGCACAAGGAAACAGCTCCATGAGAGAGTCTAAGAAGCCAAAGCCAGGAGAAAGGGTGCAGAGCAGAGCAGGGACCAAGGTGCTGAGGCGCTCGACCCGGGAGAGGCATGGCCAATACTCAATCCTCTGACTTGGAGAAAATGAAACTGGCCTGGTGCCCTCCCCACCACACAGAACTCCTCAACTCTTGATGGCCCCCCAAACACAGTGTGTCTGGCCTAAGAAAGCCCCTCCTGGGCTTTGAGCAACATGCACTGAGGTGTCCAGCTGGCTATGGCTCGGCGCATGGCCTCACCTCACTGAATTTGGGCTCGTACTCCACAAGACCTCTGCTGTTCACATGCAGGATGGGCGCTGCGATGGCTGCTTGCAGGTCGAAGCCAAGCCACAGCTTGTTTATGATGGCCTGGGGGAGAGGAGAAGGGTGCAGGAGGGAGGGTCACCAGCTACCCCACACCAACCCCCGTCCCTGTCCCATGCCCTGGAGAATGAGACAAAAGGACATTCCAGCCAGAAGCCTCCAGACTCACCTGGGTCACAGCAGAGATGATGAGCTCCCCCCCAGCCCCACCAATCACCAGCTTCGATCCCTGGGCTACGTTGATCAAGATGGAGGGGACCATGGATGATGGGGGCCGCTCACCTGGAACTGGAGGCCGAATGGTGTCACTGTGCCTCCTAGCACCCCACCCCCCTGGCCACCCCCTCCATCACTGTTTCCATTCATTGCTTTGCAAACCATGCTCACCCGGTGGTGGGGTGATGCTAGAGCCCTGTGGGTGCCTCCAGCAAAGGTCCAGGAGTTCGTTGTTGAGGAGGATGCCTGTGCGGGGCGAGTACACCATCGCTCCGAAGCTGCAGAGCAGGGAGGCGGGGTTTGGGCTCAGGGCCCTGGGCGCTGTCTCTCACTCAGGACCCATATGCCAGCCTTCTAGGGGCCCCTCATTTTAGCAGTTGCTCTCCAGCATGCTGGAGCCATCCCCCACAATCCACCCATTCCCCCATCAAGGGGACCCTTCTGAGTAAGGTTCATCTGCAGGGGTTCATCTGCAGTAGTTCAGGGCTACTCATCAGCAGCCTTTTCAGCCAGAGATGTCAGGGGTTTAGGGTGCTTTTGACAGAGGAAAGGGAGGGGTGGGCAAAATCAAGGTGCTGCCCATGGAGAGAAACAAGGGGAGTTGGGGCGCTGAGGAATCAGGTTGGGGCAAGCGTAGGTGTTGGGACCCAAGTCTAGGGAGCCAAGGATTGGGGTCTGCCTGCCTGCCCTGGGCCCCACGCACGGTGTGTTGATGGTGCTGGTGGCCGCCACGGCGCTGCCATCCTCCCCCAGCACGGACACATGGGCGGTGCCCATCCTGTAACCCCAGACCCCGGTCAGATTGTAGTAGCTGAGCTGGTGGTCACCCCGGGTGTCGATCCTCTGGCGAACGTGCTGGGCCAGAGCCTCACCCAGCAGGACCTGGGAAGCATTCTGGGGTAGGGGGCAGGTTCGGGGTCAGTGAGAGACCAGGTGGGGCCACAGAGCAAATGACAGTATGGTTTCAGCACCCTGAAACCTCTCTCAAACTCAGGCGGCCCCCAAGCCCTGCCCACCCTCTAGGTTCTCTGAGGTAAGGTGCTACCACCGCCCTTCCATACAGGCCATACCAGCATTACTGTCAGCTCCCTCACAGCGAGTGTGCCCGCCCTGCTCTGCCACTGCTGGCTGGCCTGGCCCAGAACCAAGTATATGGCCCTCCAACCCCAGGGCTCACAGGAGCACCTCCCTGCCTGACCTTCTTGCATGCCGAACCCTGGGGCAAGGAAGGGGGTTCCCCACCAGCCCCAGGCCACCTTACCTGGACCTCCAAGTGACTGCGAGGGTCCCACAGTCGCCACCTCTGTCCCCCGGCAAATTTGAGTGTCTCCACAAGGTGATGGTACAAGTGCACATGCCCCCCGGGCATGGCCACTGACTCTGAGGAAAAGTTGAACCCTGGGAAGGGGGTTAGCACAGGTGGGGGGGTCACTCTGTGTAGAGGGTTAATGTTAGCTCACCCCCCCCTCAAATATATCCACATCCTAATCCCCAGAAACTGTGAGTACTGCCTTACATGGCAAAGGGTGTGGTGAAGTTAAGGATGTGAGAGGAGCAGATTCTCCTGGACTATCTGGGCAATTCTGAATGCCATCCCATTATCCTTGTAAGACTGACATACAAAGGGGAGGAGGAGACTGGAGTGCCACTGCCCGCAGCCTGGGAATGCCAGCTGCCCCCGAAAGCTGGAGGAGGCAAAGAAAGATTCTCCTCTCCAAATGACACCTTGATTTTGGACTTATGGCTTCCAGAACCATGAGGAAATACGTTTCTGTTCTTTTAAGCCACCAGGTTTGTGGTAACCTAATATGGCAGCCACAGGACACAAACACAATCAGCCTGGGGCACTGTAGGGAGCCCCTCTCCCACCTGCAGGCTGTGCTAAGCGGGCCCAGTCTCAGCCCCGCTGCACACACTGGGCAGGCAACAGCACCTGCAGAGCCCCCTTGCTTTTGTGTCCTGGCACTGGGTTTGCAGTGGGAGGACTTGGTGTGTGGATGACAGTGGACTTTCAGCAAAGCCCCGGGTGGGAGCGGTGCCAGAGGCCAGCTCTAGAATGCATCCTTTCCACTTGTCTCCACAACCCGGTCTTTGGAGTCATTCATCTGAGGATGGGGCGGAATTGGAATTAGCAGTGGCTGTGCCAAGCCATGGCTGGCAGTAAATGTTCCCAGTGGGGCAGGATTCTAGGGAATGACCGTGGGCCTTGCCTTTGAGCACATTGAGGACGAAGCTAAGGATGGCGCCCCCTGCTGGGGGTGGTGGTGAGTACAGGATGTAGTTCTCCAGGGGCATAGACAGTGCATCCACCACCTCAGGCTGGAATGATGCCAGGTCCTGCAGAGTCAGCTGACTTCCTGGGGTGAGACAGAGAGATCCACGTACCGATGGGGCAACGGGAGCAAAGAGTGATAGACACTGACCCCATATTACACTGTGGGGCTCCCTTCATCCCCTAGTTTCTAGACCTAGAGGGCTGTTGGTAGGTCTGCGGTCATTGGCTTTGGGTCTGGGCCCTAGGAGGTAGGCAGGGGAATGGGTGAACAGAGATGAGAGGCAGGCAGGTTGGGGGAGAGAAAGGAAGGTAGAAGAGGCAAGCTGGTCCCTGAAAGACTGGGAGGGAGGCCAGCTCAGCTGCATGGGCCTAACCCATGTCCAGGCCCAGAAGCCCACCACGGCCCACTGTGGCCCACCACGGCCCACTGTTAACTCCCCTCTATTGGCTCTAACAGAGGGCCTGAGGCAGAGCCTTCCCTCAATCTCCAGCATGCACAACCCTGCTTTTTCTCCGGCAGGATAGGGAACTTTGGCCTGTCAGCACAGCTGACCTTCCTTGGTAATGTCCTCCAGTAGCATCTGGCCCAGCTTCCCTGTGTAGAAGGCTTCCACACCCTCGGTGGCCACAGTTTCCAGGGTATTGGCCAGTTCGGGCCACGGGAATGGGTCCTGAGCCCTCAAAGGCTTTGTCCCGTTGAAAAACAGCTTCCTAAGGGGTGGGGGCAGCCTTAGAATGGGGCCAGGTTCTAGAGGGCAACCACATTTCTGCATGGCTCTCAGGGAGGCAGTCCTGGTCCTCAATCCAAAAGGCTCGGGCGGACACGGGGAAGGACTGATTCTCTAGAATCTAGCTGACATCTCTCTCCTCACTCATTGCCCTGGCCCAGTCTGGGCAAAATACCCACTTGAACTTGTGTCTACTGAGAGTCACTTCTCCCTACACCCTGGGAGGACCTTATCAATGGACTGGCAGAGGGGGCAAGGGGGCAGCAAAGTCCTCCTGCCAACCCAGAGTGAGAAGGAAGGCAGGGCCAGAGGGCAGTTGACTCAGAGCCCAAATCTACCCCCTCGGGTTCCTATCACTTGAGTATAAACTCCCTCTGACCTGAGCCCCTCCATCCAAGGCCTCCTAGACCCCCATGGGGTCAAACCTCCAGCACAAGAAGGGGCTGAGCTGGAGCTGGGGTGGAAACTAGTCTCTGACTGTGGTCTGAACCCAGCTGCTGCAGAGGGGCCCTGCCACCACAGCCCCCTCCCAAGGTGGTGCTCACCTCAGGGATGACTGGAGCAGGGCAGCCTTCAGGATGCTGTTTTCCAGGAACTGGCTGAGGACAGGAGGCACACGGTAGCCCCCTCGGAGCAGCCTGATGGTGGGCTGGAAGAGCTGTGCCCAGGGTAGGCGGCCATGGCGCCGGTGGGCCTCTGCATAGCCACGGAGCTCCCCAGGCACCCCTATCCACTGGCCCCCTGCATGGCACATTAGCATCATGTCCCTGCCCTGACACTGCCCATTCCCTTGTGTCCTCAGCACTGTGACTCCCAGGCCTGCCCCAGGGGCTCTCTATCACATACACACTTGGCCCACTAGACCTGTCCTCCTACTCCCCAGCCATGGCAGCTAGAGTGACCTTTCTAGAACCCTCCCCATCTCCACCTTAACCCTGCTTCCCTCCATAGAAAGTCCACCAGCCCTCCGGGCCGAGCACAAACTGGCCCCACGACTCCCACCCCAACCCATCAACCCATTTCCACCAGACCACACAGGGCTTTGTCCATGCCGGTCCCTCTGTGTGGATCACCCCTCTTCACTCAGAGAGCCCCTCCCCCAGGAAAACTCCCACAACCCCAGCGGGTCAGGATCTCCATGGTGATTCCCCATCCCCTAGATGCTGGCCCTGCCCAGGCTACCAGTCTGTCCATGAGGCCCAGTGCCCTTTCAGAGGAGGGTTCTGGTAAGGCCCCATGGCCCAGTGGGTGGTCCCACCTGAGGACTCACCTGTGCCCAGTGGCTGGGCCTGCTTACATTTGTCCAGCAGCCCCGGGACATACTTGGCAGGCACTGTCTCCCTGGCATTGATGACCTCTGCCTTCCCTGGAGTCAGGACAGGGCATGTGAGTGGTCAGGGGTATCTCTGTGACTGCCGGCCTCACCCCACACTGAGATCCCCTTGCATGACCCTGGCCCTGTCCCCTCTTTGTACCATGAACTGACCTCTGTGCTAATATTCGGGATGGGATCTGCCAGGAGACTGTGCAGACAAGGCAGGCGGGACCAGGTGCACCAGAGAGGGGCATAGGCAGGCCGGACCAGCTGGGCTCTTCACAAGCACCTTACAATAAGCATGGTGGAAAAGCCCACCTCCCCGCCGTGGGTGGGCTCACCTGTGGTTGCATTGTAGATGGTGAAGATGACTCCTCCGCCCAAGCCCATGCTCTGAGGGTTGACAACGCCAGTGCAGACCAGAGCGGCGATGGCGGCATCCACGGGCGAGCCGTGCTGCTGGAGGATGGCTCTAGGGGACATGATCTAGTAGGTGGCGCAGCTTCTCGGACCTGGCCTTCCTACCTGGGCTTCCGGGCTGCTGTTCACTGGTCATGGTGATAGTTATGTGGCCCATCTGCTACTCCCAAGCCCCAGGTTAGGTCACTGGGATGTCCCCTCAAGTCCAGCCACTGCCAGGTTCACAGCACTCCACAGGTTGCAAATTGACATCCCTTTACCCTGCCCCTTGCCATGCGTAAGGTTCTTAGTTTGCAAAGCACTTCTCCTGTCATTATTGCCAAGTCCTCCCAGCAGCACTGACTCATTTGTGATAGGCAGAACTAGGCCTGGGCCAGCCACCCAGTCCCTCTCAGCAGCCCCAGGAGCCTAGCCTGGACAGCCACCACCCCATCTTATTGGATCAGCCCAATCCCTTTCAAAACTGGGCTTTTTCAGGTGACCCTTGGGTCCCGTCCTGCCACCAGGGCTCAGGACTTGGACTGATGGGCTGATGGCATCCTTCAGAGCCTGGTGTCTATGGGAATGCCTTAGTCTCCCTATCTATCCATGGGCAGCAAGGAATGAGCCCCTCAGCTCCAAGATGCTGCTCAGAGTAGTCAGTGCCATGGAAACAACCCAGTCCTTGGGACACAGCTCTGCACAGCTCACCAAGAACTCCCTCTTCCATCACATCCAGGAATCCTGCCAAGCTCTCAAGGAAGAAGGTTTAAACCCCAGTTACAGATGGGAAGACCAAGGCCCAAAGAGGGAGTAGACCTGAGTCCTTTCTCCCACCCACAAGACTTTGACCCCAGGATCCTCCTTAGTTCAGGCACCATAGCCCAACCCCTCCATCCTGCACTCAAATCTTCCCTTGAGCTGGTGCCTGTGTGTGGGTCCACACGTGGGCACACATGGAGGCCACGGGTACTCCCATGATCTTAGAGCGGGAAAACAGGCCATGAAGCTAGAGCCCGCAGAACTGAGACTGCTACATACAGGCATAGAGAAACACAGGTTTTTAAGAAGGATGGAACACCCTATACAAAATCAAAAGACAAATTGGAAAAGGCATTTTTTAAATTCGCATCCTGTACAAACATCTCCTCTCAAGCTAACTGGTGGCTCCCTCCCCCCAGAAGCCCTTGCTGTGCCAGCTGCCAGAAGACCTCACCTCCTGCTGTGTCTTCTACTCTTCTACCTCCTACTTCTCTGACCTCCTGATGTTGGGGGCCCTGGGCTAAGTTCTTGGTCCTTGTGTATCTATATCCTCTTCAGAAGAGTTGGTTCAGGCTCAGGGATTCAAATGCGACACCTATGCTGATGGCCCCAAATACTATCTCCAGTCCAGTCGCCTTCCTTAAATCCCAGACACTTACACCCAGCCATCCACAAGATATCTCCCTGGGTGTCTAAGAGGCACCCACTTTTTTTTTTAATTATTTTATCTATTTATGCATACAAGAGCTGGGGTGTAGGTCAGAGGTCGGGGGAGAGGGGTGAGAGAATTCACCAGAGACAGAGTTGGGAACAGAACATGCAGATTGACCAAAATACACTGCTGAGGGGGAGCAGCAGGCAAGACAGGAGAGGTCTGCTGTGCCATGTGGGTTAACTTGCTAGCAGGGGATTGAACTCCTGCTGCCAACAGCTTCATAATGCTGAGACTTAACCCCTTGAGCCACCAGGAAGTCCCAAAGGCACCCACTCTTTTTTTTTCCCAAAGATTTATTTATTTTATACAAGAACTGAGGTATAGGCCAGATGTGCGGGAGGGTGAGAGGATTCACCAGAGACAGAGCCAGGAACAGAACAGGCGGACTGACGAAATACACTGCTGAGGGGAGCAGCGGGCAAGACAGGAGAGGTCTGCTTTGCCATGTGGGATTTTTACCGGCCGGCCGGGATCGAACCCGCACTGCAGGGGCCGCGGACAGCTTCACAGCGTGGCGCTCAACCACCTGCGCCACCAAGGGAGGCCCAAGGCACCCACTCTTAACATGACCCAAACTACACTTTTCACTTCCTTACCACCTCTGCCCCCAAAACAGCTCTGTCCCGGTCTCCACCCTCAGAAAGGACAGAATCATTCACCCTTTTTGCATCGGCCAGTCATCTTTGGAGTCACCCTTAAAAGTTTCATCCCCACATCAAATTCTGCCAGTTAGTTATACCCATATTCTAATTTCTTCTCATCACCTCCACCACTACCATCCAGGTCCAAGCCACCCTCATCTCTCACCTGTGTTATTACAATGACCTCCTACCAAGCCACCCACCTTTGCCATGCTACCTCATATTTTAACAAAATAATCTGTTTAAAATATAAATCAGACATTCTGGTAATAAGAGACAAAATGATGAAGCCCGGGGGCCTCCTTGGTGGTTCAAGGCGTTAAGTGTCAGCACTATGAAGCTATCCACAACTACCACAGCAGGAGTTCCATCCCCGCCAGGGAGCTGCCCACATGGCACAGCTGACCTCTCCTGTCTCGTCCGCTGCTCCCCTCAGCAGTGTATTTCAGTCAGTCTGCCTGTTCTGCTCCCCACTCTGTCTCTGGTGAATCCTCTCACCACCCACACCTCTGGTCTGTACCCCAGCTCTTGTATGCATAAATAAATAAATCTTTAAAAGAAAAAAAATGATGGGGCCTCTCCGGTGGCACAGCGGTTGAGCACTGGGTTGTGAAGCTGCCTGCAGCCTATGCAGCGCCGGTTCGATTCCCGGCTGCTCCCCGGCCACCGGAGGAGGGTCCCACATGGCGCGCAGACCTCTCCTGCCGCCCGCTGCTCCCCTCAGCAGTGTACTTCGGTCCTTCTGCCTGCTCTGCTCCCCGCTCTGGCTCTGGTGAATTCTCTCACCCTCCCATGCTTCTGACTGTACCCAGTGCATGTATAAATAAATAAAAATAAATCTTTAAAAAAAGAAAGAAAGAAAGAAAGAAAAAAATGATGCAGCCCAAACACAAAGAAAGCCAGACCAACAGAAAATATCTACTTCAAAGGATCAGAGGCAGTAAATATAGGCCCTAAGAGAGGAGTGAGCTGGCATTTGGAGCTGCTTCTCCCTCAAGGTATCTGCCAGTCCTGGAAGAGGTGGCTAGAGGTGGAGACCTGCTTTTACCCTCCCGTGTCTCTAGTGGTGAGAGTGAGGGGTGGGGAAGGGGGGGATGAAGTCGGGTGGGGGTGGGGTGGCAGGTGTGCTGGGGAAGTGGCCTTGGAGATGGATCCTTGCTAGGAAAAACAGAGAACTAGAACTAGACCAGCCCTAATCAGCACGGTGGCCCAGTGTCAGATCACCTCAGTCTCTCAAATTAAATTACCCCAGAATGGTGGAATCCTGAAAAAAATTTTTTTAATTATTTTTAACAATTTCTACACATATTCTCCAGTGTTAGATTAAAAATAACAAAGCAAACAAGTGTGGAACTAAGGAGACAGGATGGAGGTACACCAGTAGGGGAATCTAAAATGCAGCCAGAGACCATACAGGAAATGTTAATTCCACAAGCCTCTGCCTGGCTAGAGCCCAACAGAAACCGTGTGGCCCTGGGGCCTGGCACACAACTGCAGGCTCCAGCAGGGGTTGAGGAAGACTAAGCAGCAGGCCAATCCACAGAGACAGTTATTTCTTGCTCGAGTCACAGAGTCACCGTCAGTCGTAACTGTTCAGGAAAATTGTGTCAGACTGTCCGTCAAATAGGGGTGCTGAGGGACCCCGAGGTTCATGACTTCTACGTAGGAAAGAATTCACATGGGAGTCAGTGTAGGAGAGTTAGAAATGAAGCTTTATTGTAGGTGAGAGTGTACACTGAGAGTGAGAAGATTCAGAAGAGAATTGCCCTTAGGCTGGAAGTGCTGATAGAAATACTTGCATAGTGGGCCTCCCTGGTGGTGCAAGGGGTTAAGACGCAACCTATGAAGCTGTGCTCAGCCACTGTAGCACGAGTTCGACCCCCGGCCAGGGAGCAACCCACATGGCGCAGCAGACCTCTCCTGTCTAACCCGCTGCTCCCCTCAGCAGTGTATTTCAGTCAGTCTGCCTGTTCTGTTCCCCACTCTGTCTCTGGTGGATCCTCTCATCCCCCACACCTCTGGCCTATACCCCAGTTCTTGTATGCATAAATAAATCTTAAAAAAAAAAAAAGAAATACTTGCATAATATGAGGGGCCAAGGCTCACAGATGGGATCCTAAATGGGTTTTGATAACTTTTGTTTAACAGAAGGGGCAGGAATTTACAGATTGGGATAATGAGATTTGGCCAATTTTGTTGATCAAAAGCACCTGACCCCTAACTTCCTGTTAGATACCATAGGAGTTTTATAACTAGTGGCATCTGGTGTGAGATAAACTAATGGGGTTAAATCAAACTAATAGGGTTCAGGTCACTTTGTTCTGAAATGTGCACAGCTGTTTTTCAGATATGCTGGAAGAGGGAAGCAGGAAGCTGTAGCCATTGAGCTAAATTCCTGCAGGCAAATCAGGTAGCATTTCAGGGATATTCATCCATGTACATGTTACATAAGAACTTAGAGAAATTACTGCAGGATTCCCTAATGCGCTCACAGGTCCTATAGATCTTGCCAGTGAGTTTAACTTGGTCATCAAGTTATGAACCAGGTTATTCTGACTTATACCAACTTATTCACAAGTTTGCTGGAGAAGGTGGAGCCAAAGAATGAATGACTAAAATAAACTGGAAAAATACCTTAGAAAACTTCCCCAAGAAAATAGCAACTCATCAGACAAATGCTCTTAAATTAAGAAAAGTCCTGGGCCTCCCCTGTTGGTGCAGGCAGTTGAGCACAGAGATGTGAAGCTGTCCTCAGCCTCTGTAGTGCAGGTTCAATCCCAGCTGGCCGGTGAGGGTCCCACATAGTGCAGCAGACCTCTCTTGTCTCGCCCGCTGCTCACCTCAGCAGTGTATTTCGTCAGTCTGCCTGTTCTGCTCCCTACTCTGTCTCTGGTGAATCCTCTCACCCCCGCACACACCTCTGGCCTGTACCCCGGTTCTTGTAGACATAAATAA